TAATAAACGGAGCAATAACAATAGGGACCTCACAGTTGTCACTGTGCTCGGTCCCTAATTATTTTGGCTCGCTAGACCTCATGTCAGCATTGTATGGGCATTGTATGGGCAAGTGTTAGAACAGGAACAAGTGTTAACCTATTGTGAATTCACCCATTGGTTTGTTGAGTTCCGCTTTGAAGCGTTGAGTATATAGCTCCTCCCACCTTCAGCTTGATCAGAGGTCTAATCAATCAGTGTCAAAATTGATTGGTGGGTGTACAGGGCCTTTAAATGAAAATATTATGTGGGGTTACAGTCTGGTTATTAATTGTATCAATGTCTGACCATGTTGATAGGTGTTCCTGTGCAAGCCTGTGTATGAACAAGTCCTCCAGACACTGGACAATTTGTCCCTGATTGAAGAGCAGCGTGTCACGCCCAGCCAACCGCCCACACCCCCACCACCAACTCCTTCCTCCACCAGACCTCACCGTTTTCCTGACCCCCAGGGAGGGCTGTTTGCAAGAGACCCCCCCCATATCAACTTCTCCCACTCATCGCTTTCTTCCCCTTTGCCTTTACAGTCTCACAAACCTGCTCTTGACTCTCCCTCCTTCACTCAGCTAAAAGTCACCTTACATGTGGCAGAATTACAAGTCCAGCTCAGTGCTGACCTAACCCAAGGCTCCCAGGGCTTAGTCAGTCTGCGTTTCCAAGATCTGGAAGGAGACTTTACCAAAGACCATCCTCACCTACTGGCAGTCCAGCTGGCTCTGCGCTCGCTGCTAATGGAGGACCTCCTAGAGCAGAACCCTGAATCTAAGTACAAACATTTGATGGTGTCTCGTGGAGCCCCCAAACCCTCCACGTTCAGTCCAAAGGAGTATCTTTCTCAAAGCTGTCCATCAGCATCCAACGCCCTGTACCCAGACATGCCTCGTTCACTGCCTGCCCACATGGAGGAGGCCAAGAACGTCTTCCAACTCTACCAGAGACATCCCAGCACCCCTTCAGCCAGTCGTAAATCTAAGAAGGACCCGGACTGTCCCAGCACTCCACCTCCCTCTCCTACCCACCATACACTGTCTCCTCAGCCACCCTCAGACTTTGATGACTCATTAGTTCATATCAATGTGCTGCTGGTGGACCAGAACCACCCAGAGTTCAAAACGCGCTATGGAAGTGTGGGAAGAAGTGTTGATGTCGACTTTAACTGCCTGGACGTCTTGATTACACTACAGACCTGGGTGGTTATCCTGGACTTCTTTGGCATTGGCTCCACAGCCAACAATCACGCAGTGAAGGTGCACCCTATGTCACCTCAACCTGTACCAGGACATCCTCTGTATGAATCAGACATCAGTGAGGATGAAACAACAGAGGCTGTCAACACTAAAGTGGACCTAAAGGTAGGTCACCAGACCTGGTACATCTAGATGGACTAGCTGGGCTGTCCAAATAAATGTATCCTGCTAATTTTGATTCTCTCTGTCATTCTTGGTGAAGCTTTCTTACTTGAATGCTTCATGACTCAACCTGTCCATGTTTTTATCTTTAGGTTCATTCTTTGTCTCTTATACTGAACAAGAAACTCAATGAGCTTGCCAGAGCTAGTGTGTCCAAATTATCTGCTCATCTGGAAATGTTAGGTGTGTATGAAAAACATAAAATTCACCCTGTTAAGATAAAAAAAAGCCTCCACATAACATGACTCTCTTTTACACAACTAGATTGACTTAAGAAAATAATTTGATGTTTAATGTTATCACATTATGTCTTATATTTCAGATGGCGACCTGGCATTACAAGGCAGTTTAGGAAGTTTGTCCCTGAGTGACCTTACCCCACATGGTGATCTCTACCGAGAACGCTTCACCACACGGGGAGGGGAGGCCCTTATTTTCAACATCCTTAAGTATATCCCACTTTATATACCACAGTTACTCTTACTGACGCTGAAGAACTTGGAAGAATGGATATTTTTTTAATCAGCTTTGTATTGTGGTCCATTCAGGTACGGCCAGCCCGATCCTTACCTGAAGCGGGAATGTGACATCAAGGTTTCCTTGCAGATGGCCTCAGTGCAGTATGTCCACACCCAACGCTTCCAGGCCGAGGTGGTGGCCTTCATCCAACATTTCACCCAGCTACAAGATGTACTTGGAAGGCAGAGGGCTGCAATGGAGGGCCAGGCTGTGAGTACTGCCTCCTGGTACCCTTAACCATGATAGCGTCTAGGGCTGTTGTCAGTTTTTGACGTTTTTATTTTTGCCAATTACTTTGTAAGGGGTACAACAGGATGATGATAATTTAATTATTAGGGCCCGAGCCGAAAATTTTGTATTTTCTAGGGGTCCACTATGACCATGGCAAAATGGCCCCTCAGGGGCCCATAATCTGTGCCACCCGGGACCCCTTTCACCGATATGCATTAAAATCGGCACACACGTAGATCTTATCCAGATACACAAAAAAGCCTGTGGGCGCCATATCCCAAACCCAACAGGAAGTCGGCCATCTTGGATTTAGCTGCCATTTCTGGCGATTTGCACACGTTGTATTTGAACGAACTCCTCCTAATTGATCAGATCGACTTCAGATAGAAAGGGTGTGTCCGTGGTGTCAAATTTTGATGTACCGCCACAACACAAAGTTGCTATAACTTGAGTGTACATCGTCCAATGACAGCGCCACCTAGTTGTGAAAGGAAATGTCCTTTTTATACTTTAATGTATATCTTCCAGCAGATTGAC